AGTGAAGTGCCACGGACAGAAGAGGGCGCTCTAAAAAGCTGTAGATAAGAGGCTGTATTTTGAGTTGAGAGAACTAATTTCCAGAAAATCGATGGGATTTTTTTTTGGAAGAGGAAAAATCATCTAAAAGTATTTGTTTAATCCTGTCAAAGCAAAAGAGGGTAAATTAAGCTTTAACTTAATGTACGTCTTGAACACCTTATCTTGGAGAGTTGGTGTTAGATTCTACGACAACTTATTTAAGGATCTGCACCGCTTTAAACCGATGTGAAGCATCTGTTATGGACTCGATAAATAGCGCCCTCTGTTTACTTGATAAATACCGCCCTCTATTGAGATATAGAAAGAGCCTAATAAAATGACGCCCTCTATTGACTGTACAGTTTAAGTTAAATGCCCGTAAAAAGTTCAATAGCGCCCTCTATTAAGATTACTCTCTGGAATTGGTGGTTGAATGAGTTTTGGGGTATTAAACGGTTGATGAAAGTCTATTCTTCTGCTTAAAATATCTTTGTACTTTTCACTTGGGTGGACCTAAACGTATGCTCAGTTGTTAGTTAGTTGGGAAAGTTGCTTAAAAACCACAACACTACAACAACAAAAAATAACAACAAAGAAATGAAATAATGCTGACAACACTGATTTTGGATAAATGTGGCTCAAGCCACTCGGTATTTATTGTACGTGAACCGCATGATGCATCGTTCAAATCAGAAAGTGTGAATAATTTCAGCAGAGATGACGAAAACCTTGGAAGCAAGCAAACACGGATACAGATGGTCAATTATACACGACGAACTCCCAACAAGTATATACAACCATGCATAGAAAAATCTTTATAAAAAAACTCACATTCATACACTAAATCCATTAATGTAAACGATACGTGATACATATACATGATTTAAAACACAACATCATGTGTATAAAAAAACTTGTTTATTATATTTTTACAGGAATAGAACTTTGGAGGATTTGCTGATGCAAATTAAGTAATATCAAAAACTGATAATACTCCCCCGAAAATGATAATAATAAAAATCGACTACTAAAGTTAATAAATAAATAAATAATTTCACACAGCTCGCCAGCCCTGGGCGATCCCAGGGTAGTAACGCATGCGCACATGGTAACGTTCGGGTAAGCAGCAAAACTGTTTTTTTTTTAACGGATATCCCTCCTACAGGAATCAGTGTACAGCATTCTTTCTCAGACAAAAGTCCCACAGTGCAATGCAGCATAAATCTTGATGACGTACATGTACTTCCGGTGTATCCATTTCTCGCCAATATGGTAGCCATCCGATGTGTCCTTTCTTAAGCCAAGGTGGCAGTGTGACCGTATTAGACCACACGGACTCCAACTTATGTTGCATGAGGCAAAACGATCGAATGGTTGTGACCAACCAACGTATTAGCTGATGCAAATCTGTCTGAATTCAGCTTTTTAATTTGAACTCGCAATTTCAACTGGTACAAAATATTCAGTAGGACGATTCTTATTGACGAGAGCTGTATTTAAATACTGTGCTCAATTTCAAACCAAAAAAAACATGACTAAACAGGCGCCAACATTTGCAGCAAAATAAACACCATCACGAAAATGAACATCGTTGAACAAGCGCATGCCCAAAATGGCGATTTCACAACCCGTTTTCCTTGGCCTTTATCCGCCACATGAGGGCAGTATAGGGGCACACGTATGAGTCAAGTTCAAACAATCATCAGTACAACTTTTACATGTTTAAACAGTTCAAAATTAATGTACGATCGTGAATGAATACAATCGGTTACATTTGAGATTATTTACACTTGCTTGTAACCATTGTCAAGTGTGACAGCGCCCTCTCTCGAATGATTATTCACAGTCATATCCTTCTTTAAAGCGTCCCAACAAATGGACGATACACTTATTGCTATACTTTAATACTGCTTTCATATTTTGTATTCGATACTTTGAACCTTAGATGCTCACTTTAAACCATTGTTAATTGGATAATTAAAAAAATAATTAAATTATATTTTTGTAACCATGTGCAAACATAAAATTCCCCCCTCTTTGGCCAACAATAGTTTCGCATGAAACACCAAATATTATGAATAAATCAATAAACTTTTACTTTCGTATGATGTAGTTGTAAAGCGATGCATCAGTATGGCTGTAGAAAGCACGTGACTTCGATTATGATTTAAAAAGGGCCGTATGTTGTTTACTTTGAGCACATCCATTTGTTACATAATCATGCTCTCATGTTTTGTAGTTGGTGACTTGGTTTCCATCCCCGTTACTTCAGCCGAGACAATGGATTTGCACATGAACGAATAAATGACAAAAATGAACAATGGACTGTGTTTATTAGGAAAGGGCGTAATCATACATGTCGCCGCTACACGTTAATTCAAATGGAATAGAGCTTGTCCGCCACCATGAATTTTAATTTTCCTCTGACTTGTGTTTTGTTAAAAATAAGTGGTTTATAGCTGAGAATTAAAATAGCAAGGAAGAACCGGTTTGTGCAAGCGAAATTCAGGGAATTATCCGTTGATATTAATATCTTGTTGAAAAAATTCCAACATCATTCCAAGAAAGTTGCCGCCGTGAATCAGAGTTTGTGAAGGGGAAGGAAAGTTGGTTTTGCTATCACCATCAACAGGGCCGTTCCTCATTTTGTACCTTTTATGGGATGTGAATTAAATTGGAGGACGAGAGGCTCTGCGAACTGATGTATTTTTTTTTAGAAAACATTTGTCTCGCAACCAGCTTGTATGGAAGATTTCCGTTTATTTAAGACTTAATTCACCGGTATGGATACCAGTGTAGGTACAAGAAATAAATATCAACGGATTATTCCCTGAACTTTGCCTGCACAAACCGGTTCTTCCTTGCTATTTTCTCAGCTATAAAACCACTTCGTTTAAGAAAACACAACTCTGAGAGAAACTAAACGACTCATGATGGCGGCCAAACTCCATTCCATTTAACTTAACATGCAGTGGCGACATGTATGATTACGCCTTTTACCAATAAACACATGAACGAATAAATGACAAAAAATAACAAAAAAAGAACACAGGGTCGATTGGTGCTAATTTATAGGTGGAAAAAACTGCATTTATTCTACAAAGACAATTTATCAAAATGAGGAGACATTGCAGCACGACACATACCAGGGAAGACTACAGTGTCTATTACAGGTTGTCATTTCAAGTAGGATCCGATTTTCAACGATTACAACGTTTGCCAACGATTGTCAATGTTCGCTGACACAGGCCTTACAAGTTATTTCAGAAATTAAACATGACAAAAACGTATCCAGGTCCAAGTTTCGTGGACTAAATACACGAAAGAAAAAACATAGAATCGTATTGTTCGTTCTAATTTACCATAAATGTACAAAAGCTATTTTGATAAACCTATCAATACACAACAATTTATAATTCAATTTCAAATCATACGGGAAAACCTTAATGTTGAGTCCGGTTCAAGGTATCGTTTTGATTTAACTTTATGATATGACGAGGAAAAAAAAAATCAACAGCTAACTTGGGGGGGGGGGGAGATACACTTCTAATAAGCAAAGGAATGGCGGTTAAATAATCATGCAGACAACCAAACGTAGAAAAAAAAATCAACATGGAGATACTTTCTTTTTTCACATTTCAGCCATTCGGAAAGGTTTTTGTTAGGATATTAGAATATAAAATAAAAATAAAACAAGTAAACCAGACGAATATTTTAGCCTACAGCAAGGTGAGGTTTCATAATAATATTGAAAGCGCACCGCCTTGTAGATTTTCACCGAGAAATATCTCGGAGTGTGTTTTTGACAAGTCTATATGAAAGACAAGAGCCAGTATTTGGAAGCAAAAAATACTCTCCAGTATTGACTTAGTCAAAGAAGACTCAGTTTAAAGTTGCGTGTTTACACGCATGTGCTTTTATCTATTATTTTATCTTCCACGAAAATAATCTTCTAAGATATATTCTGGGATTGATAATATCGTTGAATGAAGAGTACATGGAGGTGACTTTCAAATTAACGGAACACAATTAATCGTTTATCTCCAGATATCATGACGGTGTATTCCTCCCCGCGAAGCATTTTTCCAAAAGATTGAAATATAACTAATAGCACCAGCTTCTGAAGAGAGACATTTTAAACACATACGTCTGTACACACGAAGAGCAAAATAATTATGGGTAAGCTCTAGCACACTGGCACACACCAGACACTATGTTTGCTGCCCTCTGTTGACATTTTTGTCCGGTTCAATTCCATGAATTTATTGCTCATTTACAAACACTGGACGCTACTTTTTAAAGTCACATTACTAAAAAAAAAAAACATTTTCAATTTTTCTTCTTTATAAGATGGAATTTGCGTCTGGGTGAAGGGCAAAACCTAATAATAATTTTGTCTTCTTTTTTTCAATAACGGCCAAACAAATTTGCGACCATGACGTAACGAAAGAAATGTCCATTAAATTAACACCTTTTGTGAGGATTTTGAAATCACGTTTCGTCCTGATGGTTAATCATGAGAACCATGGACTATGTTTCCGACAGAGGGCGTCTAAAATTATGGACACAAAATGGCTTCACCCAAGCCCTGGTACACAAAGTAAACGAATGCATTACCACAGTACACATTTTTGTAATACGTGGAAAATCGCTATTTACCAGATATTGAAACCGTTAGGCCTCATTTTTTTCTGTCGTGTTCCCTGAATCCAGTTATTCAAACAAAAACGAGCGTGCCTTCGCACATTCGCAAAGTCGCCAGACGCTTTTTGTAATGATTGCTGTGTTTGCCTCGCTTTCAAACATATTTTGCAGCTGGGCCCAAAATATGAAACGGGGTTCATTCATAAATGAAATGACTATATTAATCACAGCACATTATCTACATGTCCTGTATATCGCCTATTCCAATAACATGCAGTGCCAACAATACTTAGGTAAATTATTGGACTGCGCCCTCAGTAGTCCAGACTTTTAACTTTTTTGTGTTCTGATATTTTCAGCTTTGTACAAATCCTATGGAATGTTTAAGTTTACTTTATATCATAATTGAAATTGATATAACCCCAGGGTACACGTGCGTGGGGTACGTTGTAATATAAGTATGCTTGATAGGTCAAAAGTCATCTTCTTATCAGAAATAAGGTAAACAAAAATATAAACATGATAGATTGCACTGCTCCAAGCATGGTAAATATAAAAACATCTCCAATCTGAAGCTACAAGCTACTCCAAGGACGATTACAATTAACACGCTTTCGTAGATGTATTGTCGGCGTTAGGTGCTCAGTTAAAAAGACACCGTGCTCAAGTTACCCCTTTGTGACACACGCATGCGCTTGTTGGTGTAGTTCCACTTATTCTCTCAACCCAACAATGTACAGCAGCGGTGATTTGATCATTCAGCACATTCAGCCCGAAAGCAGGTTGAGCATGGCACACTTGGGAACAAATTCAGCCTTTGTAGTCTTCCCTCAGGCCACTATGAGCGTTCATAAAATTATTTCCACTCCGTTGTTGGCGTAAGGTTCTCCTCCGTGTCCGATTGATATTTGGCGAGCCTGGGCCCGATATTGTGCTCCGGGTATGGCCCCTCCGTCTCCCCCTCGCATTCCTCCTTCAGTGATTCCTCGGTGACGAACTCCGTGATGGCCGTCAGCGTGTGTGCTGGGGCCGACTGCCGGCTGCTCGCCCCGGCTTTGGCCTTCTTCTTCCGCTCGTTCTTATTGGAGTCCACCTTACCGTTGCCCATGTGCATGAGCAGCGTGACCGTGGTACTGTACTCCATAGTCCGGTCCCGCAAGAACTGCTTCTTGCAAAGCAGGCGTTTGAACGCCGTGCGGAACTCCCGGTTTGTGGCGTAAATGAGCGGGTTCAGGGAACTGTTAATCCAGCCCAGCCACAACACGATGGTGAACACAGCACCGCTGATGCACTCCTTGCAGAAGGGAAGAATACAGTTGACCACAAAGAAGGGAAGCCAACAGAAGACGAACACACCCAAGATGGCCCCCAGAGTCTTGGCAGCCTTGTGCTCGCCCTTCTGGTTGTTATCGAGCACCCTGTTCTGGCTGCGTATACTCTGCTCCTGGCGCCGGGCCTCGCGGTAAATCAACAGGTAGGTTATGATCATGACAATGGAAGGAACGTAGAAGCTAATGCACGACGACAACACGGCGTATATTCCGTTCAGGATGAAGTCACACTTGGGCGGGTTGGCCAGGATGGTGTCCTGGGCGTCGTCCACGGTGTGAATTCCCGACAGGACCGGCACGAATGACATGACGCACGACACGATCCAGACGCAGGCTATCATCAGGAGGGCCCGCTTCCTAGTCATCTTGCTCTGGTAGTCAAAGGGCTGCGTGACGGCCCAGAAGCGATCCAGTGCGATCACGCACAGGTTCAAAATGCTCGCTGTGGACATCATGATATCCAATGCTTGGTGCACGGCGCAGAACCTGCCAAAGGGCCAGTAGCCGATGGTGAAGGCCGCGGCGTTCCAGGACATGACTAAAAAACCCACCAGGACGTCCGAGAGTGCCAACGAGACCACGAACCAACTCGTGATCTTGTGCCGCAGCTTCCTCCATGAGGTGACGGCGGCGATGACCAGTATGTTTCCGAAGACGGTCAACAGCGAGATGATGGCCAGCGCAATGCCGGCCGCCACGTTGGGATCCCGGCGGGCTAGAGGCTCCGACTCACTCATTGAGGCATTACGGTCGGTCCACAACTCACTGTACATGTACGGCGCGTTGGTGGTGGTAGTGGTGGTAGCAGCAGTGGTTGGCTCCTGCGTTAGCGAAGACAACTCGTCTAGTATGGTGCCCAAACTCACAGTCATCTTAATCCGCGACTCACAAGGTAGATCATAGTTTTCCACGTCATCAGTAACCAATCGAGTCCCGGCTCACAATCACACACGGCTTTTCAATGATAAAGATACCTTCGTTCGCCATCCACTATTATTGCCGTCAGGCCTGTGAAATTAAAGAAACAAACGATATTTAAACACTAAAGGCTGTGTAAATCCGAAATGGCTGGCGGAGTTGACGTGACAAACACACCGAGTCTGTGTTGCCTTTGGTTGCTTGGTATCTTCACGTAGACAAGTCAGATTTATGCAGAGTTTTTGTTGATACACAGCAAACCAGACGGCATATCGCTATCAGCTTTGATAAGGGAATAAATATGTTCCTGGAGGCGGATAATGGCCCAAGCCAAAGGCGATGCCCCTAGACAGTTTTAAACGAACTTGTGTTATACCGGTCAAGCACATATTTATTTCCATTCATAAAAACCTTTCGGTCAAAAACACAAAACAAAAAATCACAATTTTCCAACGATTTTGTTCGGCGCTGATTTGCACCTCATGTTTTGTGAACACCCCTCTGACTATGAATATTGGTGTGTTCCTCGCGCGCGTAGTGCTAAAGCAATTCCTTTTATGGAGATTCGGGGGCGCGTGGCGCGTACTGCGCGAAGTGTTTAAAGCCACCCACGTGACGGGCTCTCGACCAATAGGAGTGGGTGAACTGTCTTAGGTATTTATGAATAAGGTTTCAAACATTAACACGGTACACATTTAGCATCGGATGCCCATGGATGCGAAGCTATATACCAGGAGTACGTCCTCCCTCATTAAACCACTATCATACCATTCCGTACACTGATCGCATACCAAAATCCCACAGCCACAGTTCGACGAAAGCAATGCTGTGCGATTTGTTTTCCCCGTGACGTCACAGTCGTGCCGGGCGTGCGTGTTATTACTGACCACGGATTATGTTCCGGATGAGTAGCGGATCGTATTGCGGATCAGTTGCCCTGAAAACTGGTTCTTGGATTTCAGTTATTTGGAAAGAGTGAGTGAGAGAGAGAGAGAGTCAGGAGATAGATAGGTTTCTTTTGCTTTATAAATCAACAGAGTTAGCCAAAGAGAAATAGAATGACACTAGGTTGCAATAGGATCTGTTGGGATTTATAGGACAAGATTTAGAGATTTAGAGAGAGTAGGAACATCCGGGTGAGCTAAGTTTAAAACACTTTTACATGAAGCGAACATTACAAAAGAAGTAGAAGTTTTCGCAACAAGAAATCATGTTTGCCAATGTACTCCGGCTGTCCTCGTAATCGTACTGCGGTGTTTTTCTACGGCCTGGGAAGGATCTCGCTTGCGTGGCTAGTCTCCAATGCCACCTGCCAAGCCGTTGAAGCGATTAGTAAAGGTATTCAATATCTAATTACAACATTAGCCAATTGATTGGCGGCGGCTGGAACAGAGGCCAACCCCTGCTATGCTTATTTCAAGTGTCTGCATATGCACATGCACGTCAAAAATAGCTGTTATCTTCGATGCGCAAATGTTAACCAATTATGATAACATGACTATAATTTCACCGTATTTTTAATCACATTTTGACCGCCATTTTGAAATGAAATCTCGTTTTGCATATGTTCAGTGTTTTCAACATGTAGTTGAGACTTGGTTGTTGAGTAGTCTGAAATAACTGCATGATTCCAAAATTAGATACGCGCATTAGTCTTGATAAAAGACACAGTCGTTACATCTTACCATTGTTACCATGGTTTGATTTATTTGTCAATCCAGAAAAATAAATCACATTTTGCAAATACGAAAAGAGAGTAGGCCTATAGAATTGCTCCTAGTTTGGCTTAGAAACCGAATTTCTAAAGTAAACAAACTCTGCCGACACATTGGCCAGTTTGCCGTCAGTTTTTTTTCTTTTTTATAGTAGCCCCCACCCTACGTCTGCAAGTGCAGCAATCTCTTGCCAGTTGGATGCCGCGTGGCGCACCGCAAAGGCTGCCGCCACTTCCAAAGCATGCCGCCTCGGTCCCATTCACATATCGACATTCTGTTCCCGCGACGTGACCTTTTCCGAATATTGGACACTGCACTGTCTTCTCACGAGAAGAAAATAAAAATGTTCAAGTCGACAAGAATGAGAGTAAATTTAAAATCAGGTGAAATCGTGCTTGCAAGACTAAATTTAGATCCTCCTCTATTCACGCGCAAAAGACCAGGCGCAAGATGCCCTCGATTTTTGATCCGATTCGATCAAAACACAAACATCCTAATGCCGAGTTGCCGTTTTCAGTGACAGGGCAACTCTCCAAGGATCGTTCGAGCGTGAGCCACTGCTTTTTCTTTTCTTTTTGGCTACGGCAGTCGTCCGAAGAATGATGTGAAATCTTTGGTGGGGGCGGCAGACCCAAGGGTCAGAGTGGCCTTGCATTGGACAACTCCAACTCGACTGTATTCCCAGAACGGTCGGCGAGTTTGAAGCTGCGATTAACGGCAAGAGGATGGACGGCGATCTCCAACTTGAGAAGAGAGTTGTTCGGAGAAGTGGAAAATGTGGGGTTCTGCACGTACTTGCGCGGAAATAAAAGTATCTTTGGTGGAAGGGGAGACGGGAGAACACTGTAAAAAATGTTGGGCGAAACACTGTTGGGCAATATAATTTTACTCAACATTGGTTTGAAATTACCTCATTTGGGTAAAAATTGTCCAACTATGGGGAAGAATTTTCCCAAGAGTTTAACCTCTTTAACTGCTGTTTAAATCATGCATGTAGCATGTCATATAAACCACTGTTGTCTGATGTTTTTGAATAATCACAAAATTGAAATCGGTAATCTTTCAGGGGTGTCACTATTTTAAATAATGATCCAACGTACGGTACACATGAACTGCAGATCAATTGCCAGTTGAATTTGTCAAAATTCGAAGGAGGACGTCAAACATCATGTTTGACAGTTTGAGTTCCAGACGATCACCTATAAGATCATCCAATCACAGGACAGAGAAATTGAGAGGGGCAAAATATTGGCAAGTTGACATAATAAGGTATGAAATTCAATCACCACACAAAAGATGAAATAAAACGTTCAAACAAACAGTTCTTTTTTTGAGATTGGCCCGTCGGGCAGAATGGAAAATAATAGAAGTGGATATTGAACGATTCAACAGGAGAGACTCCCGCGGGCCGGTCGATCGGGCATCTTGGCCCCAGAGACACCCCCCCCCCCTTTACCTGACGAGAGAAGTCCTGAATGACATCTTCAAGTGACTGCTATTGATTCCAAAAAAGTGGGGAAATACAAGAAAAAGCAAGAAAAATCGTACTGGCACGAGTATAACCGCGCGGGCCGGGCAGCCTGGGGGCAGGATTCCCGGTGATTTGTCGCAGTGCGCGCTTTTACTCCCCTTCGGAAATATCATCCCGCTACTCAAGGAGAGTCGTTATAAGAGCGTTTTGTTTTGAGTAACGGTAGCAATAATGGCCGGCCGTAAGGACAATTTACCGGACGACAGTGATTTGTGGGATGAAATTTTGGGTCGGACAGATATAAATTCAATACTGTGTTTTTCTCTCTCCACCTACAGAATTTCATAACCACTGTATACTCAGTGTTGTCCGAGGGCTTGCGAGGAAATTTCACAACCTTACTCGGGTGGAATTCGAACCCACAACCTCCTGCTTACTATACAACAGACGTCTTACCACTCGACCACTGAGCTTGCGGGTAGACTGGCCGGCTTGAATCCGATAAAGGCAGGGCTGCCCTGTGCATGAATTTCTTTCGCAGTTTTTATTGTTTTGAAAATGTGTAGGATGACAATCAAAACATGGCTGCCTTGTGCATGAATTTCTTTTCGCGTTTTTATTGTTTTGACAATTTGTAGATACCATTATACTGATCTATATAAGGGAAACCCCATTTGCAAAAGGACCGATCTTGGTACAACTAACCACGCAAGTTTGCTTAGAGCAAACTAAATGTCGCTTAGCAACAAAAGGTTACCAGCTAGAATGTCATGTGATGTTAACGGTCATGAATGGTTCCCACCTATTTTGTTCACCACTGAAAAAAATGCTAAGCATTTCTGCCTTAACACCTCCATGAAATTTAGGCTTAATTCACGAGTCGGCCATATTGAATTGAAAGCGAGGTAAAACTGTTCATTTTGGAACTTGCGAGTAAAATAAAAGCAATGAAAGAAAAAATTCATTACAAATTAATACCAGTCTGTTCTGATGAATATTTTAAAATTTGTGATTGAACATATCCTAATGTTTTAAGCCGCTATTAAAAAAAAATTTGAAAGTGAGGCTTGGAACGAACTCCAATCATCAAATAGTCTGGCACCATTCCATTCAACAGTTTACAATTTATAAAATAGATTCAGGAAACACGATCGAAAATGGCTTCCTTGTGAATAGACCATTATCATTTTGCGGCCATCTTGATTTTTGCCCCATTCAAATCAACGTAACCAAAGCGAGGCTGGAAGGACAAATAGTCTGGTTCCTTTTTGCATAAAAAACATTATCATTTAGTTCTGTAACTGGATACAGGGAACATGACTGGAATGGTGGCAGCATGATTAAGGTCTATAAGGTCTCTCTGGCTCACAGCGTACCGCCACACCAGGCAGTTGCAAAGTAAAACTGAAAGGATTGAAACTTGGTTAAATTGCCAGAATTGTGTTTGAAAGTAAACAAAAAATAATTGATTGTTCGTTATACCAAACTCAAACCTTAAACGTAATTGATGAACGAACAAAACTCACAAATTTGAAAGGGCAGTGATACAGCCAACGCATTTTATATTTGCCAAAAGTATCATCACTACGAATATTCTGTTTGCCTTAATATGACTCACTTCACAGAAACAGAAGACTCAGAAAACATCATTTTTCATCCTTCGCTATTTAAAATTCTAGACTGCACATGTCAAGTACCGCTGTTGTAACTGGTAAAAAAAAAAAGCATCCCGTGTTTTGCACGACACCCACATAAACGTCCGCTTGTTTGCCTGGAAATAATCCTTCTCTCTCGAAAGCCCAGGGCCCTCAACAATATGTCAGTTCTGCTCCCGAAGGGACGGCGAATATAGAAATACATATTTCTCCCCCGATATGCAACTGGTACTTATGTGGTGGAGTGCG